TGCTCAAGTATTTCATAAATTCTGGATATAAGTCCCTTATCTGATATGTTATTACCGAATACTTTTTCCCAGTCAGTGGCTTCCCTTTTTACCCTGTTGGAGAAGTTTTTGCATGTGTATTCTGCTCTTCCTTGCCTTCAAGGCTTTATCCTTATGCTGGATTTTTTTTTACCTGATGTAGTTGGTTATTTTAAGAAGAATGTGCCTCCCTAGTGTTGCTGGTCCCCTTTTAAACCTCTCTGTTGTTTGGCTGGGAGTCACTTGTTTTTAGGGAATCCTGATGTCTTAATCCATAGAGCATTTGTCCTAATCCATAGGGCATAGCATCATAATGGACAGAGACAAGACTGAAACTGTCAACAGCTTCATCTTGCTTGGATCTACAATTAAAACCCTTGGTAAAAGCAGTCAGGAAAAAAGGCGATACATTGCACTGGGAAAATCTACAGTTAGGGAGCTTTCCAAATTATTGAGGAGTATTGATGTTAGCTTGAGTACATCTGATTCAGGCCATGGTCTTTCAAATCACTTGTGATGCATCTGAGAGCTGGACAGTGAATAAGAATAACAGAAAAAGAACTGACACCTTTGAGCTGTGGTATTGGAAAAGAGCACTGAACATCCCATGGACAGCCAAGAGAAGGAACAGATATGTCTTTGAGATGGTGCAGCTGGGTGTTCTTTGGAGGCAAGAATGAAGAGGCTTCAACTCATATACTTTGGACATATTGCTAGGAAATGCTATTCTTTGGAGAAAGACATGGTATTGGGAAGGGTGGAGGGTCAGCAAAGAAGAGGAAGACCTTCAACCAGGTGGATTGACAAGGTGACTGCTGCAATCAGCTCTTCTGTGTTGGGAAGTGTGAGGATGGCACAGGATAGAACAGGGTGCAGATATTTTGATCACAGGGTCGCTATGAGTCGACTTGATGGCACCTAACAACAACAATAACAATAATCCATAGGGAGTTGGTTCAAGTCTACCAGCCACTCTGAGTGAGAAAGATGAACATTCTCCTCGCATATGACTTCCACACTCTGGAAACTCACTAGGGGGTCAGATAAGAGTCATTCAGACTCAAGGGCAATGTGTTTGAGTTTTGATTGTTTACTTGAAATTTGACTCAAAGAAGTAAGTTTTGTTCTGCTTTCATATGATGGCTAAGTGCCATCGTCTCAGGGTTCCACCAGTTTCTACAGGCCCTGTAAGCTTGACATTTTTAAGGTCGTTGGGTTTTATTCCACATTTCCCCCTACTCAACATAGAACCATCGACTCTAATCCATTTTGGAGTGGTCAGCAGTGGTAGCTGGGCACTGGCTAGGTCTCCTGATCTCAGAGTTCTATATGTTGTGGTTCATGTGGTGTGTTGGTTCTTTGAATTAATTGTTTCAATACAACCGTGTGTATCTTTCTTCCTTAGAAGTTAATTTAAAGTTGAACTCAGGAAGTGAAACTTGTGTCTGGCACCTTAGACCACTCAGCCATCCTGACACTTAAGGGGGAAGTGGAGATTAATTATGGAGTTGTATAATTTGTTGAGTCGGGGGATGAGGGAAATGGAAAGAATTTTTTCTAGAAAACAATGCATTTTAATTTTGTAAATAAACTTGTTGTTGTTGTTATGTGACGTTTTATTGTTTATGACTCTGAGAGGACTGTATTGACTCCATTTTGTGCCTGGCCTCTATCTAACGCCTGACCTAGGCCTAACCTTTTAAAAAATTCAATAATTTCAGAAGCAGAAGCTGGCCATAAAAATTCCTAGCTCAAGAAACAGCCAATTGAGGCGGGAGCGGGGGGACCGCAGGAGAGCAGGAAGGTCTTATCTATCTGTCCTTATAGAGTTTAAGATTAACCCGCCTTAAAGTGGGGTGGCCACCTAGACAAACCAATCACAAACTAGCCCATGTAACTGATCCCCTTGCCCACCAATCATGTTCCTAATTACCTCATCCTGAGCAAACAGCTCCGTAGTATCAAACCCATAAAAGAAGTTTACACGAACTCACAAGGGGTCACGTTTTCTTTTCTACTAAATGGTGGACCTCCTGCATGCTGGATTTTGTTCTTCAAAATAAAGCACTCTTGCTGTTTGTATACATGAGTAAGTTGTCTTTTGGTTGGTGATCTACAAACTTAACAACTCATAGTGACCTTATGTACAACAGCCCTAAAGCTTGCTCTATCCTGTGCCAATCTCAGTCTCTGACACACCTACCACCATTATCCCAGTCACTGAATCAATCCACCTCATAGAAGGTCTTCCTCACCTGCACTGTCCCTCCACCCTCCCAAGCATGTAGAAAATGGAAAAAAAAATTTCATAAATAAATAAATAAAGTTGAATTCAGACTCCGTGAGAAGGTTCACGGGAGAGTTATACAAGAGAGTTCATGAGAAATTTATAAAAGAAATAAGTAATATCCAACTTAAAGATTCCTGAGTGATTCACTCAAAGGTACACAGTACAAACACACTCAGAAGTGCCTTGGAAGAAAGGCTTGACAACCTAGTTCTGAAATATCAAACTGCAAACCCTGTGGAGTACAGCTGTGTTCTTACATCCATGGGATGATGAGAAACGGCACACGAGTTGAAATGGAGGGAAAAAATCTTATTGTTGTCTTTGTTTCTTTCTTTGTTTTCAAATTATTTAAGTACAAAGTAGCTAGTAACCACAGTATCTGAAATGAATATGAGTTACAAGCTCTTCTCTCTCTTTGGATTCAGGAGGACCCAGTGCTGACCATGATCACCTACGTGGGGCTGAGCCTCTCCCTGCTGTGCCTCCTCCTGGCGGCCCTCACCTTCCTGCTGTGCCGGCCCATCCAGAACACCAGCACCTCGCTGCACCTGCAGCTCTCCATCTGCCTCTTCCTGGCCCACCTGCTCTTCCTCACAGGCGTCAACCACACAGAGCCCAAGGTTGGGGACTTGGTGATGTGGCCCGTT